ATAATTTTTCAAAAAAATCTTACAAAATGATGCACCTTTTTTCAAAAGTCTTGATAATGCTCCAATGAAAAAAATAAAACTGGAACTTGTAGTATGGTATGCTGGAGAAATGATAATAAATGAAAACTATGATAAAATAACTACCAGATGGTTTTAAACTGGTGTAGAGGGACACATTCATCAGTCTCACAGTGGAAAAAACAGTGGAGGAGGCAGTGCTATCAAATTCAGCTTGTGTTTTGAGCTGGATACTGAGGTCCAAATAATTTCTGGTGTTGATTTTTTTCATTTATTATCATTATTCTTGCATACCGTACCTCTCTTTCCGATTTTTATTTTTTCATTTGGAGCAATATTGAGACTTTTGAAAAAAGTGCAATAATTGTAATATTTTTTGAAAATTTTGAAAATTGGTTTTTCATACTTTTGTTTTTAGAATCATTTTTTGAAACCTCTTTGTACCACTTGCTCAAGTCTCATGATTGCAAGTTGGTGGGTTAGGCAAATCAGGTCTCATCATTATAGGGAGCAAGAGAAAACAGAAATCATAGAAGGAGAAATTCAAGACCAAGAACAAAGCTCCAAAAATGAGGGTGAAGCTTACATTGCTGTAGCAATAACTAGCTCTCATCAACAGGCCCTGTTCCAGAATCAAAGTAGTGTCCATATATTTGCCCAAGAAACCAAGCTTGATCCAATCGGCTTTCTTGAGCAAATCAGTCAACAGGAAATATTCTTGGTCCTCAAATACTCCACTTAATCAAATTGCAGATAAGTAGGTCTGAGCAGATCCGGTTCACTTTGTAAGAGATTGGCACTGGCAAGAGTGTTCATTTTAATCATTTTCCACTGGTAAGTAATATTCTACAGAAGAGTGCACAAGAAGTGAGTCAGTTCATCAAGGTGTTCAAAGCAGCTGAGAGCTGGACAATTAGGTGTAGAGCAGGATTTCCTTTGAACTCACATTGCCTTGCCAGCTGGAAGGAAACCCTTCTGGTTGGCCATTGGCCTCGGATATCCCTGGGGATACCCGGATACCCGCCAGGTTTGGGGGGAAAAACAGCCATCTGCAGCCGAATCTGTACCCCCTGGTGGGTATCCATTGGCGCTGGGGGGCATCCGCCAGTGGATAGCGGGTATTTGTTGCACATCGCTATGACAGACTGTGCACTGAGATTGTGCCTCCTGAGAGAAGCATATTCCCTACCAAAGCACAACTAAGCACATCAAGTGCCATCTGAAGTAAAGGTGCACTGGTGCGCACCTGCAACAAGTACAAGTACTTGTGTGAAAATTCTCAAATCTCAGACACCTGCACCTGTAGGCAAGTACTTGTTGGAAGGCAACAAGTAGCAAGTATTTGGTGCCATCTCTATTATGTCAAATCTGCAAGGTGGTGGGCTAGAAAATATTTGGCAGATTACCTTGCCAATCTTGGTGGATCTGTGTTTTGAGGTTTGAAGGAGAATTCTTTTTTATTATTATCTCATAAATTTAGGGGTTTGATTAATCAACTTCCCAAAATTGGAGAGTCAACTCCCAAACCCCAAAACCCCCAAAATTAGGGATTCAATCCCCCAAAACTGTCAACCAGTTTGGGAGCCGACTCCCTAAAAATTTAAATAAAAATAAATAAAACCCCCGGTTGGTTTGGAAGTCAATCCTCCCAAACTGACCAGGGATGGGGGTCAATAAATCAAATCAACCCCCACCCCACGGCAGCGGCCGGGAGGATTCCTCCTGGCTGTGAGACCACATTCTTGACGGCCAAGAGGGGAAACCCTCACAGCCGTTGAGGGTATGTACACTCTTGACGTCAAGAGGGTTTCCCCTCTTGGCTGTCAGGGTGTACAAAACCAAATCAAC